GAGTGGACACGCAGGTGAAGTGATGAGCTCCCTCCAGGGCACAGGTGAAGACACTTGTTCCTGCTGTGAGTGCAAGGCAGAGCCTGTCCTGGCCGTGTTTCCAGTGGTCTGTGCTGGTTCCCACTTTACCAGCCAGCCCCAGAGGATGGCTGTGCTGCCCCAGCTCCCTGGCAGAAGCTGCTGCTGTCGGGGCTGAGCGTAGGCTCTTCAGCCTTGCTGGTCCCCAAAGTGAGGAGTGCCCAGTGGCAGAACCCCCAGCAAAGGGCCACACACTCCCAGAACACCCCAGTGCTGTGCTGGCTCTGAGGGGACCACACAGCATCACCCCTGTGTCACTGCTGGCAGTGTGGCCCCTCTGGCAGGGTGCTGGGGGGGTGTAGGGTGGGTTTCCTGAAGCCCTGTCCCGGGGGACCCCCTGCTCCCCAGCGCTGACCCCGCACAGCTGCCGGCGCCGGCCCTGGGTTTAGCACCAGTGTTTGCAGAGCGCCAGGGCCTCGGAGGCTCACACTGTTTATTTGTTCCTCGTAACTGAAGATGTCCCTCAGCCCTGGAGCAGCTTCCTGGGAAAAGCCATTCTTCAGCAAATAAATAATTTCCCGGGCGGGGAGGAGGACGGAGGCGCAGCTGCTGGCTGGCTGCGGGGCATGGCCCGGGGCTGGTGCCGCTGGAGGGGAGCCCTGGCCCTGTGCCCTGGAACACGTTCAGCGGCACCAGATGTTCCTGCCCGGCACAGCGGGCACAGCCCCAAGTGGATGGTGTCCGTGGGAGCTGGCAGCTCCCGCTCCTGGACCCCGTTCTGCAGCCGGGGCAGGGGCTGAGGGAATGGGGGACCCGCAGAGGGAGATTCAAGTCATGGAATCAGAGTCATTTAGGTTGGAAAAGACCCTCAAGACTGTTCAACCATAAACTTAGCATTGCTGAGGGAAGCTCGGGCCCCACCTCCTTTGGCTGGTGTTTGCTGCGATGGACACAAACCCCAGCTCTTCTACTGCTCCTGGCATTGCTCCTGTCACTTCTCCTGTCACCTCCCTCTGCCGGGATAGCCCTGAGCTACTGTCCTGAGTGCTCCCACTGTCCTGAGTGCTCCCACTGTCCTGAGTGCTCCCACGGGGGGTGACCCCATTTCTGCATGCAGCAGGATGTGTGGAGACGGGATATGGACACACAAGGTGCTGTGCAGTGCAGGGAGCTTGGGAGCAACCACCCTGGGCACACCCTGGTGCCCTTGGCCATGCCCTGCCGTGCTGCCCACTGCCCTCCACGTGCCAGGAAGAGCTG